CATGACCTTTACAGATTGTTGCCGCTTTAACAACCCTCGGGGGGGGGGGGGGTGAGACAAGGAAATGCTTCCTGTTTATGCTGACAAATTTTTATCCGCTAAAGTGGTGCATAGCTTTGCATTTTAAAAAAATCAATCTTAAGAACGCTCTAAAATTGTATATAGTCTGATCTATCGTCCTGTTGATAGCAGCGGGTGGAGATAAGTGACTGTAGCAGCTGCAGTAAGGTGCTCACAAGGTTAAGCGTAGATCGTAATATATGTTTGACTAAAATTTAAGTGATTTACGTGGGTGCCTAGACAATTGAAGCATAAAATGAACAGTCCAGTTCTTTCCTTGCAGTATATCTGTACACAAATGTAAGAAGACATGATGAATCAAATGTGGATCCACTGCCAGCCAGAATCAAATCGTACTTCTATGCAATGGGAACATCATCATCATTCGCCCTATGTTTATTTAAAAAAGGTCCTGGTCCGACTTTAAACCCTCGGATTAAAACGTCTGTCAAGGAAAGAACTGCTAAGCGGTTGGGACTCTGCTCCAGATCAATACATTAGCTCGTTTTATGTAGGCGGTATCTAGGCATCTGGCGCTAAATTGGGGAAGCCGTACCGATGATTGCTGTTGAGCGAAGTGTGTAAATGAAACAACGTTAAAAATGGACTAACTTCCTGAAGTGTGTATTGGCGTGGTTTCGGGGGGGGGGGGGGGGGGTGCAGCCTGTGTCGGCTCTACGTTTATGTAAGCCTCCTTAGATGGAGCGCCTATTCTCTGCTACACGTGGTTGCCCTGGGCGGGGTCTCCCGGCTCAACACCTGTAGATTATGTTACACTTAATTATTCGGATAGTTAACCAGTGCTTGAAGTTGGCGGAAAGTATCGCAGCTTTGCTGTAAACAGGCACAACAAAGAAAAACAAAACACCGGTTTCTGCCCTTACCCACACATGTCTGCAGACTGCACCTACGGGTTGGACGGTGTATCTGTGGACAGTAATTCTCTAGTCGGCCTTCCGGATTGAGATTTTTGGTTCTGTCCTAATCTCTTTCCCACAACAGTCGATCAAATATTTTAGGGGGGTGGTAGACTACTCTATCGTATGACGTAAGTGGCTTAGGTTAGGCCCAGTTCTAGATGTTTTGGGGTAGTAAAAAGCATAAGAAAGCCGGGAGACCCGCTCTTAGCACCCTCCAATATATTAGACTATTCTGGGGGAAGATATTGTGAAAGCACCTTTCATTTCAATTCTCAGGATGGTATGGTCAGACTCTAGTCTCTACGAACAGGACACTGCAGGCTCAACTACCACATGTATAAAATAAAGATTGTACAGTCCCCACAGTGTGCCTGTTAGACAGGACCACAAACACCTCAGCACATTCTACAGACCTGCCCACTCCTACCTGCAACTTCAAAAAGACACCGGGCCTCAAGAGCAAAGTGCGCAGAGCAAGCTATGGGGAACCATGTAGGACCTGCTGCTAACATGCGAGTTTGTAGAGGCAACCCACCTGATGGTCTGATCTGAGCATACGAAACCGAACGCAAAGAAGATGACTAGTCAAAAGTCTGGATGGCACAAACTGATCTACCGATCACGACCAAAACTGCGACTGTTTTGTCCCGATGGTGGCAATAAATTCTTTCTGAATACTGTATTGCTAAAGATAGGATACGATACGACAGCCAAACCCAACGCTGAATTCAGAGTAAAGAAAACGTATTTTGACCCACACTTGCTCAGTTTGTACACTTTCTGTTACTTAATTCATAATTCTGCAAATGTACACGGGGAGGGGGGGGGGGGGGGGGGGGGGGGGAATGATGTTAATATTTCTTAGTCTTTGCATCTTGGTCATCTTAGTTTTCAGATCTCTTCGAAGAAATTTATATCAAATTTAGGGTCTACGATTCTTGGGTCACAAGTATAGTTTAAACTGTCTTTAGGAACAACACGACCGCCATTAAAAAGTTTAGTTGAAATGCAAGCATGTGAATGTGAACACTAAAAAACATTGTTTAACACAATATTCTTACCAACGCTATGCTGTCAGTGTCAAACATGGACCCTTGCTTTGTCTTCAGAAGACAGAACAAAATAGTCACGACATAAATGAAATATTTGCGTTCTTTCCTAGGTGTAATGATGACAGATCGACCTAGGAATAATGACATCAGGAAGAGAGTCGGCACAGAACCAATAATGAACTTTATAGGTAGACAACAAATCAAATGGTTTGGCCATGACACAAGACTGACATCAGACAGGGCAGCACAGAGAGCAATTTTATACGAAGGGAAGAGAAGGACCAGTTCCAGTGCTGCTGCGAGACATTCCGGATTGGACCCAAAAAAAACAAAAAAACAAAAAGAAAGTGATAATGCTGTAAAATTATTTTATTTCATACCATGCTTTTCTTACATAAAACAGACATAACGTATGTTACGTTTACCCCACGGTGTTTTATTACACAGTTACTAACTTGGCCACGCTTTAGGATACATACAGCAACCGCTGTAATCAACGCTCCCAGAAGGCTGCAGCTGAAAGGTTACTATGCTCAGTAGCGGAGAATGCCAGCAAATTGCCATAGCAGGGCTGCTGTCATGGGTGCCTACACAAGGAAAACAAGTGGGGGGGGGGGGATTTTTAAGGATGGGGAGGCTTATGGGACCAACTCCAGCACTTTTTATTCAGCTGTAGCTCTATTGTGATTTCACTAGGAAAGTATACATGCAGTAGTCTGGTATTGCTCTATAGACGGCTGGCTCTCGATACCCGTGCTAGAACCAGCACAAGTCAGCCTGCTGCCAAATCGCTCAGCTGGGGTCGAACTCGCCAAAACAGAATTACAAAGTCAAATACAAAATACCGTACAGTTCATAATATATCTTCATCAACATTTGTATGTGTCCAGAAACAAAACTTACACAGCAGTTTTCTTACAACAGTTTTCAATGCATCATTAAATGTAAAAAATTACACTATAATCTTACATTAATTTGACATTATTAAACTGACAACCCACGAGGTCAGATCTGGTCCATAAAGGCCTAATTAATGGCCCATGGTTCACTGTCCCCTGTATTGCACTAAAAAAGCCAGGGTCTGAGGCACTCCTTCGAACGGTGACCTTGGGGTGACGTAATTCACAGTGCATTAACACTACTTTAATTATCTTCCTCATGAGACGTTATCCATTCTTTGTGTATCTTCATATAATAATAAAAATTTTAATATTGTCTGAATTATGGCTAACCCTAACGCGTACCCTATGTATCCATTATTTCATGCAAAGTGTAAAGATACCGTTAAAGTCCAGAGGATAGTCCACATTGCATAGGATTTAACCTAAATTTTGGGACAGAAGGGCCTGCGCCCCTAGGTGCCGGCGCCTATGCTTGCTACCGAATAGTGTTTCCGTGATGTGGTTTACAATAGGTCAAATATCCACTTGTAGAAGTAGAGGCAGGGAGATCTATGTAGGACTACGTGTTCTATGTGAGCAGCAGGCGAGGTATATATCGTTTTTGTTAAAGCCTTTTCAGGATACTGGTTAGTTTTCCTAAAAAAGGTTGTGTTTCTTTTTGTGGTACGTATTATTTCATGGTACAATAGAAAAATAATAACTTGAAATATTTGTCAAAAAGGGTGACTATGCGTCCTGTATTCACCGGGAAAGTCAAATGTTCCGTTTTGTACAAGTCGAGGAATAAGCTCAAGTATATAACATGTAGGGGGGGAGGGGGAATGCCTTCCGCATGGAGTGCTGGAGGTCCCAACTTCAGGGCCCGGTGAAGGCTGGTTACTTTTCACGTGGAGTTCTAGTAATTTCCCCTGGTCTCTGGATAGTAAGATAGGACGCCCGTGTGTATTATTGCCCCTGTAAAAAATCCCTTGGGGATTGGAAATCGAAAACAGTAGACTAACGGCCCTGCCCGAGCAAAATTTGGAGTTTAATATCTACCCAGAGTATTTCCGGATTTGGCGCTGGTGCTACGGGTTTCGTGCACTGCGCTGAGATTTTTCGGACACAGACTTGAGTTAAAAGTAGAACGAAGCACTTGTGTCATGATGTTGATCCTTTGTTTAAACAACAAAAACAGGTTCTATCAGAACGTACATTTATAGTTATATCTAGGTTAGGTTAGTTGCGTATCCTTTACAGGACGTTGCAGAACCAACCCCAGCAGCCTCTTGTTGTTGTGTGGCTTCTCTAGGCAAATTTACAACCAGTAGTTTATCGTTGCTTTCTAGACGGTCGGCCCCCTGAAACCACTGTCGAAACCAACTGTCGCTTTAGACCTAATTATATTTCATAGTCTTCGACACAACGTCTGTGTTTTTAAACTTTGAATTAAGAATCGACATAATAGCACTCGGGACAACACAGAAGCTCTCCGTCTTTGGCAGCAACGAAGAGTTACAATTTTGATGGCACTAGCAACTGTCTAATTGTATATCCGTCTCGCCATTCTCCTTGGACAGTAAGTATCTATTTACGCTTCCGCACTGTTCACTCGCTCCCAGAGGGCTCTCACAACGTCTAGCTTATCATTCACCACCAAGTGGTGCAAAACCAACCAGTCTGTCTGCCTGCTCATTTCTCAACACACCGGCATGACCTGTAGATAATATCAAAAGGATACTAACTACCACGGGCCTCTGAAGTAATGCTTGCCACTCATATATAGGTATATAGACATATTAAGGTGTGTAAAAATGAACTTTTTCTGACAAAAAACATAATCTGACCCAGATTCGCTATTTTCCCCAGGTTTAGCATGGCCTGGGTGTGTTGATGGCTAATGTGGAAAATATGACGTCAGAATTTGTATCGTAAAGGCCATTTGTTTGCAAGGATATATATATGGTAGGTGCTTGATTAGACCCCAAGCTATATGATATACATCTAACACACATCACTTTGTCTTTCTTTCCCTCCATTCATATAGGCATCAACCATTGTTCCAGAAGGTGATATCCAGCTGAACAATGGCAAGCCATCTTACAGTGGAGACACTTCATTCACTGACACCGTTTCAACCAGACGGCAGCGACGCTGTCACCAGCGCATCACGTGATTTTCTTTTAAGTTGTATCAAAAGTCAACCGGCAATACACCGAGTATTTTTCCCCAGCTTTGAACCTCCTCCATTACTGAAGCTGGTCGAGTACAGGACTTTTCCCATAGACGCACTGTCCACGACGTTAATCGCAGAGGCAATATCAAAGCTCAAAGACCCGTATAATTTCTATAGAATTATAAACAGAGCTGTTGTGGAAGATCAGCTGAAGGAAGTTTATGAAAGTCTGCATTGGAAAAAGTTGGGTTAGTGCTTCCTCATACTCGTCATCATCAGCATCATCATCGATATTATAACAATCCTCATTGTCTCTACTGCCACAGTTGCAGTCCCTTTCGATTTATATTATAATAATTATCATAACTTCTCAAACTACGACAGTTATCATCATTCCTAACATTACTAGAATTATCATTCCCTACACCACCACAGTTATCATTATTCCATACACTACCACAATTTGGGGGCAGTGAATCCACATCACTCGCCAGAATGGAGGACTTGGGAATTAAAATCGGCATAGCAAAAAAAGACGCACACCAGACACACCAGAAGACTTGTTAATCAAATAGAACTGGCACTATTAGCCATCGGACTTTGGGGTTCATACTGATGGGAGGAACTGAGCACATATGGACATGTCCTGAGTGCAATGATGATAACCCAACAAACTAACTACCACAATTATCATAATTCCATACTCTACCACATTTATCATCGTTCCCTACACTACCACATTTATCATCGCTCCCTACACTACCACATTTATCATCGTTCCCTACACTACCACATTTATCATCGTTCCCTACACTACCACATTTATCATCGTTCCCTACACTACCACATTTATCATCGCTCCCTACACTACCACATTTATCATCGTTCCCTACACTACCACATTTATCATCGTTCCCTACAATACCACATTTATCATCGTTCCCTACAATACCACATTTATCATCGTTCCCTACACTACCACATTTATCATCGTTCCCTACACTACCACATTTATTATCACTTCCTCCTCTACCACAATTATAATTTTTTCCTACGCTACCAGAATTATCATCATCACCTACCCTACCACAGCCAGACTGTGATATCTGTGCCTTGAAATAAATTGATATAAAACTACACTTGTGTACCGAAAGACCCAGATCGAACACCAACTCACGATCTATCCCCGCTCCCAACCCCCGATCACCATCCCCCAACCTCTTCATGTGTACTTGGCATATAGGGCTAGACCTCTATGTTATAGGCACTGTGTGGTGTCACATATCACTCCTGTCACGTGCTTGATTTAAGGATTTTTCCTTAAGAACCAACAGCACTCAGAAATAATTATGTTGAGTCGTTGGCTCGTATTGGTCTAAGGGATGCCCCGTGGCCAATATACACTCAACTTATTTCTGGAGTAGGGCAACTCAAGTTTTGGCACTACAAAATATATCTATATATAGTATTCCTGGGCACACTTGGCTGGACACCCCCACTACTATAAAAAGATAGCCCCCAGGCTATGATAGTTTACTATCATAACCATGTTAACACAGATAACACTTATTACTCACACAAACATCAAAGCTAGACTGTTAGAATGGTGAAATAGGGACACCCAAGTCAGCCATGAAAATTTATGCATGTAATCAGTACAATATATACATAAAATAGTGAATAGGTAAACAAGATCTCAGTGGATGGAGCTTAATACACAATGATATGACCCAGATATTGAAGCAGCCAGATTGCTTTAAAATGTACATGAATTCATCCTAGGAATCTCAAGGAGCTGTGGGAAGAGAGCATGATGATGATGATTAAATGATCACTTAGCCCAGTTCGTAGGTCGATGCTCCCCTCAGTCCATAGTGATTCTACTGTAGTTGACTCAGGTATCTCTGCCTCTAGTTGATCTGGTATCAGATGATTTCCTCACCATCGAGGACACAAAAACTGCATAGGGACCCAACAAGTCTCTCGCACGGGTCAGGTCACAAAAACTGTCTCAAAGCCCAACCAAGCTCTTGAAGACTGGTTCACTAGATGAATGACACAACGTCTGCAAATGTTCACTCGTCCTGGAGCTCACATACACGCTCTTACCATGTTAAGGTAGTGGCATACAGGGCAGGACATGGTTATGCTTGGTGCATAGAATGGTATGGGTTGTTGATTGTTGGCTGGACTGTGATTCGTCTGCCTGATCTCTACAGAGGTCTCATCCCAAGCTTAGGAAATCTTCCAAGTTAGACCTGGAACTATGAATGCGCAAAATTCTATCAAAATAGGATATACGCCTTGACACTTTGGGATCAGGCGAAAGAATGGCGTTTTTCAAAATCAAACGTGTCACCAGGAAAGAAGTTTCCTGTATTCATGAACCAGGAGTAAACCGGTTGACAGAAATTTCTAATTAAAATACTAGAATTAGCCAACTTACAGTTGCAAGTTTGAAAATGAAGATTTATCAAAGCAGCTGGAGGGTCTAGAAATTAATATTTTACCAGATAAAGGTATAGATCAATATAAGGCACTTTATACCTTTCCGGACGGGTCTAAGTTTGAAATCTTGCTGAGCGCGGGGGATATCAAGTCCTGACTCGTCCACTGTGTATGGTGGCTGTTGATTCCATGACAGTGGGTAATGTGGTCAACATGAAGCCGTTACTTTCAAGGTCTTACCTTGTATCCATTAAAGGTTGGGTCGACCTTTGAATCCGCTGGCGAGCGTCTAGTCGCTACACCACGGTGACTCCCTTCCCATTAGAACGGTCATGTTAATTTCAGCCACCACTGCTTTGCTGATGGACCAGGAAGAAGAAAAACGTCGACATCACACATGATCTGGCATCTTCGAGAAAATGCTCCTAAACAGCATTATGTCCTGAAAGTTGATGTATTTTGATCGTGTTAAACATCATGGCGGGCTCGAGAGAACTGTGATGGAAGGTGCAGTTTCCTGAAACGAAGCAGAAGCAGAACTCCGCTAAGATAAATACCAGATAGAGACAATACATTGGCTGTGAAAGCACACAGTACTGAAGAACTGACATGCGAAAAATAGACTTTTAGACGTACCTAGACGGGAGCTACGTTCTTTGAAGGATCCACTGCTTGATGATGATGATTGCTTTGCTTGTTAGAATATGTAAACTGTTGACTGAAGGTGGCCGTCTCCTCCCTAGGGTTTCATCTGTACACGACTCTGTACCCTGACGTTGTAAGAGAAACCAGTACAAACATCAGACTTCGAGATTTCATGGGCGCAGACGGGTAAGAGAATTGGGATGTCTTTCTTTGTGTTTCTTTTATAGTTAACAACTTTTAATTTATGTATGCTGTACACATTTATATGTGTGTACCATAGGGGAGACCACATACATACAGACAGACAGACAGACAAACACACAGACACAGACAGACAGACACATACACATACACCACATACTACATACATACATACATAACATACATACATACATACCTACATACATACATACATACATACATACAGACATAACATACATACATACATACATACAATACATACAAACTACATACTACAGACATAACTTGCTACATACATACAGTACATACAACACACACACACACACACCACACATACATACATACATACATACATACATACATACATACATGACATACTACATACATACATAATACATACATACATAACATACATACATAACATACATACATACACACACACACACCACACATACATACATACATACATACATACATACATACACATACCTACATACATACATACATACATACATACATACATACATACATACATACATACATACATACATACATACATACATACATACATACATACATACATACATACAAAATACGTACATACATACACACATACATACACACACACATACATACACGCACACACACACACACACACCCACCCAGGCACGCACACATACATACATACATACATACATACATACATACATACATACATACAGACGGAAAGATAAGATAGGTAGATCCCCGTGTTGATTCCGGGACCCCATTTTTGGAAAGACAAGAATATACACACTCCCCCCTCCCCCACCCCACCCCACCTCTCCAGAAAGCATGTCGTAAGAGTCGACTAGCTTAGGGGCTTCTTTCAAAGTCAGAGTTCATCTGCCTGAGAGGCAAGGAACACAGTCGACACACAGTTATGTCAGATCTGTAAAACGGATGTACATGCAATACACCGGTTCTGGACCAACATTAAAGTCCAGAGGTGGACAAACAACCATAATTTTCTGCCGGAGTTTATAGCTGGTGCACGAGAAGAAGTAGAAGACATACAATATAGACAGACAGACAGACAGACAGACAGACAGACAGACAGACCAGACAGGACAGACAGGACAGACAGACAGGACAGACAGACAGACAGACAGACAGACAGACAGACAGACAGACAGATAAATAGATAGATAGATAGATAGATAGATAGATAGATTAGATAGATAGAAGTAGGAGAAGAAAAGATAGAATAGATAGATAGAAGGATTATAGATACGATAGATAGATAGATAGATAGATAGATAGATAGAAGATAGATAGATAGATAGATAAGATAGATAGATAGATAGATAGATAGATAGATAGATAGATAGATAGATAGATAGATTAGATAGATAGATAGATAGATAGATAGATAGATAGATAGATAGATAGATAGATAGATAGATAGATAGATTAGATAGATAGATAGATAGATAGATAGATAGATAGATAGATAGATATGTAGATAGATAGATATGTAGATAGATAGATATGTAGACAGATAAGAGAGAGAGAGAGAGACAGACAGAGAGAGAGAGAGAAAGGCGATCATACTGAATAATTATGAACCGAAATGACACATTTCTTGATCCCCTTGATCAGGCATGTATGGGCCGAGAAACTGGCGTCGCATGTCATGGACCCCAGGTGGCTGAGATCCATCCACCAAGGAATAGTGAGAGGTCGCTACACTGAAGATCTGTACAACAGGGACATGAATGCTTTGTTTGTGAAGCTTCATCTGTTAGACCCACAGTCGGTAATTCCAGTATACCAGTTCCTACTCAATCAGAAAGGTATGACACATTTCTGGCTAGATTCATCCATTATCTAAAATAAAATGAAAAATAAAATTGCATACCTAATATCCTGGCAACATACGGGGGCAAATCTCTGGCCAGTTCTCAATCCCATAGTGCACCGCGAGCAGTCTTGTAACCCTTGCAGAGCTCTACATGACATCGGCCACTGGGTCGCTCATTGGCTTGCCGGTAGACGACTTCGCTGCCGATCGGAACAGTATTTGGGTCTGTCTCCTTTGTTTGCATGAATTTTTTTCAGAGCTTTTGGTGGCGTACAGAGCTAAGCCATTTTAGACGGCGCACATAAGGGTTCCCCTAGTCACAATTATAGCCCTAAAGCTCCTCCTTCTGGGGATGGCTAGTTTGAACGTTATGACATTTTTCCAGCAAAGCACGTGCTCATTAGTCTGTCTGCCGGCAGGATAAGGCGGAGTTAGCGTTTGTTGTCCATGGACAGAATTAGGTTTGCTTTCGCTGTCGTCCAACTAGGAGAGCCAGCTGCTCCGGGAGGACAACTTCATTTAATTCCCTTTGAAATTTCCTTACTGACTCTGCATCCAAGTGGCTACCTGAAGGTTTAACACTCAGAGATTCCAAAAAAATTTCAAAGTCATTGGCATCAAGGCACATCCAAGATGCCCCTTTAAATCTCCAAATAGTTCATAATTGGGGCACCTTCGACGGCTTCTCCAACCCGGTCTAGCTGTTCCACTTTGGACCAGGTCGTCATCCTTGCCTTGTTATTGCAAAAGCCAGGGTTGGTGCTGTAAAATAACAAAAAATTGCATCCCACAAGGGGATGACAACTTGTTGAATACTTAATTATGATTTCAATCTTGTATTTTACCTTACTTTCTAATCATTTTCGTCCTTTTTTAGGACGAAATTTTTTTTTTAATTTGAAGCCCCACCCGGACTTTGCCAGGGCCGTAATATAGGAAGGCCATTATATGGCCAATGTTCTAACGCGGTTTCTGGACCTTTCACGGCGATCTCATCCACATGGGAGCACTTGTGTCATCGGTGTTTTATCGCATGTGGTGATGTCCTGGTGGGTAGAAAGTCAGTCAGTCTGATTTACATCAGGAGCATATGTCGTAGGACAGCTCCATCAAAGCCTATTGTTAGAGTGTTTTCATGGGTGATTGAATTTACCATCTACAGTTAGACTTCTTCTTGCATGCACCGACTGTAAACTCTAGGCGGAAAAGTCTGGTTGTTCGTCCACTCCAGATTTATCTTGTTCCGAGCCTGAGTATAACTGCAAATGTACCTTCACCTCGTTTCAAATTTCCCCCTCTTCTGCATAAAGTTATACAAGGCTTCTTCCGTTTGCCTTAAAAGGGCGTTGCACCCTTTTGTTTGGGGAGAAACTAAAGATACTGCCCATTCCCCAAAAATCCTATTTTTTAAAAATTTTCTTAGTCGCCTTTTTTCGAAATACTGTTAAGAACATGGATCTT